GGGAGGAGAGGGCAGGAGGAGAGGGAGAAAGAGGGGGGTTCTGAAAAGCCAGAGGAGCACGGAGGATCACGTCATGACACTATGCACGTGCATCTGTGCATCCTCCAGCCTCGCGGGCCGCACGGATCCGGCAGCGCTCCGCAGCTGCGCCAGGCCGCCGCACCCCGAGGCAGCTCCGGCAAGCAGCGCGCGGCGCGGCGGGGCGGAGGCGGCCCGAACCCGCGGGGCCCACCCCGCGGGCCTCCTCCTCCTCCTCCTCCTCCTCCTCCTCCTCCTCCTCCTCCTCCTCCTCCTCCTCCTCCTCCTCCTCCTCCTCCTCCTCTGGGTGGACGGGGCGACCTGTGCTGCACTTCCCGGCGGTGGCCCGTGCAGCCAAGAGGTGTGTGGTCGGCCCGAGGCCTCTCGGAGAGGCGTGCCCGGGCGTCCCTGGCCAACCTGGGCCCACTCGCACGGCCTCAGAGGCCAGATCGGGCAGCCTGGGACCGCACGAGCAAAACTGGAGGGGCCCTTGGACACACGAATGCATACACAAAAATAAAAACATTCCCCATACTTTCCCATATTTTCTGGGTTTCTGTCGTCCCCCCCACTTGCCATATTTTCCTATATTTCTAGGGAATCGACGATTAATTGTGTGTGTTTCTTTCCCTCCTGAAAAACGTGTATCAAGGACGGGTGGTAAGGAAGCAAGACCCTTGGAGGCCGAAGTTGGGAGTCGTGGGGCGGCGGGCGGCCAGCGAAAGCGGCAAAGGACGGGCCGCCGAAGCAAGGACACAAGGGCACCCTGATGAAAGCGCACGTCCTTACTAGGCGCGTTGACTGTATGCTCTTCGGCCGCGGAAGCCTTCAAGAGTGCGCCTTGCAGTCGCCCTGTAAGAGTAGGGGGCAGCGGGAAGGATGCAAGGCCCTTGGAACGGTCATGCCGACACTGTTCGAGCGGAGCGCGGCCAGCGAAAGCGGCCAAGGATGGGCCGAAGGGGGAGGATGCAAGGGTAGCCTCTTGCCGTCGCTCGGACGTCCATTTCCCGTGCATTTTCCGGTTTCGTGCGCGTTTTTTTGTTGCTCGATGGTCCAGAATGGTCCTCGATGGTCCTCGCCGAAAGAAAATGCACACGTCCGAGCGATGCCAAGGCCTTGGAAGCACGCTCATCCATACTTTCCAGGTTGACTGTACCTGCCCTTCACGCCTCTGACACGCTGACCTATGCTGCTCAACACAATAAATATATCGGGGGCAACAAAAGAGGGAGGCATCCAAGAGGGGGGGGTGTTAATCATGGCCGGCGGCATGTGCGCGGCCCAGGGGAGGGGGGGCCGGGCACAGATTAAAACAAGAAGAGGCGCCATGAAATCTGTGGAAATAGCATGGCTCCAGTCATGATATCCACCCCCCCCTAGTCATCACCCCCCTCTTTGCCGCCCCCGGATTTAGGAGGCTTGGGAACGGGCACCAAAACCAACGGGTCTGCCTCAACGGGGGGGAGCTGATCCTACACCCTGCGAAATGCTGAAGAAATCATGGGTTAAGAAACTCATAGTCTCAGAACTTGAATAAAAAAAACAACGTTTCTATTACAATCTGAAGATTTACATGGAAACTTTAAGAATAATCGAGACTCTGGCCGAAAACTTAGGTTTTCTTGAGCATCGCCTAAGGTGTAGATGTTGGTGTTGGTGGTAATATTTCGCCCACCTTGGGAGCCCGAACCTGACCGCCGTCACCGGGATCGGAGTCATCTTCCCTCGGTGGAGGCACCGCCGATCTTGGTCTTCGTGTCAACCTCTAGGCCTCCGACAATACGTACTGCTGGACCCTCCCCCGAACCTCCAGGCACCATGGGGGAGCGCCACGCCCGCGGCGTCGCGCCTTCCATGTACTGCGCGCCCAGCCCGAGCCAGCCTGCGGTCAGTCGTTCGCCGCGCCGCGGACGACGTCTTCGTCACCGCCGCCGCCGTCGACGTCGACGCCAGGTTGTCGTCCTCGACGCAGTCGTCACCTTATTCGACCTCCACCTCCTCCTCCTCCTCCTCCTCCGCCTCCCCCTCCTCCTCATCCTCATCCTCCTCATCCTCCTCCTCCTACCCCTCCGTCAGCTTATAACGCCCCAAGAAACCTCAAAGACGGCCCCAAGACGGCCCGAGAGGCCCCCAAGATGGCCCAACAGGGCCCCAAGACGGCTCTGAGACGGCCCAAGAGGGCCTCCGCAGGGCACACGACGGCCTTACGACCCCACGACAGCCGAAGAAGGCGCCAAGACGGCCCCGCTACCAACAACGGCCCCCAAACACCCCATAAGGCCGAACGGGCCCCAAGACAGCCAAAGAAAGACCGGAAACGGCCTAAGAGGGCCCCACGACGGCCACAAGGGACCCCAGCACTGCCCAACAGGCGGTCAAAAGAGCCCGAAAACGGCCAAAATGAGTTTCATGAGAGCTTCTGAAAAAGTGCATACGACAGGTGTCACATGTGACGGCCTTCCTCTTTCTCTTCTTCCTCCTCCTCCTCCTCCTCCTCCTCCTCCTCCTCCTCCTCCTCCTCCTCCTAGTCATCCTCATCGTCATCGTCATCGTCATCATCATCATCATCATCATCATCATCATCATCATCATCATCATCATCATCAGCATCAGCAGCACCATCATCATCAGCAGCATTATCATCCTCATCATCCTCATCATCATCATCATCATCCTCATCATCATTCTCATCATCATCATCATCATCATCATCATCAGCATCATCATCATCATCATCATCATCATCCTCATCATCATCATCATCATCATCATCATCATAATCAGCATCATCAGCATCATCATCATCATCATCATCATCATCATCATCATCATCCTCATCAGCAGCAGCAGCAGCATCATCAGCATCAGCATAATAATCATCATCAGCAGCCTCACTATCATCATCAGCAGCAGCATCAGCATCAGCATCAGCATCATCATCATCATCGTCATCAGCATCAACAGTATCATGATCATCAGCAGCAGCGTCAGCAGCATCAGCATCAGGATTATCATCATCAGCAGCAGCATCATCATCAGAAGCTGCAGCATCATCATCACCAGCGGCATCAACATCATCAGCATCACCAGCAGCAGCATCATCATCAGCACCAGCATCATCATAATCAGAAGCATAAGCATCATCAGCATCAGCATCATCAGCATCGGCATCGGCATCGGCAGCATCTTCATCAGCATAAGCAGCAGCGGCAGAAGCATCATCTGCATCATCATCAGCAGCATCATCAGCAGCAATGGCAGCATCATCCGCAGCATCAGCATCAGCATCAGCATCAGCATCAGCATTATCAGAATCAGCATCGACATCCTCGTCATCATCATCAGAAGCATCAGGATTCTCAGTATCATCAGCAGCAGCATCTGAAGCAACATCATCATGATCAGCAGCATCCTCATCATCATCATCATCATCATCATCAGCAGCATCATCAGCATCAGCATCATAATCATACCCATGATAATAATCAGCAGCATCATCAGCAGCAGCATGATTATTATCATCATCCTCATCGTAATCAGCATCATCATCAGAATCAGCATCATCAGCATCAGAACCAGCATCATAATCAATAGCATCAGCATCAGCAGCATGATCAGTAGCAGCATCATCATCAGCATCATCAAAAACATAAGGATAATCAACAACATCACAACAGCAACCTCTACAACAACAGCAACTTCATCATCATCAGCAGCATCATAAGCATCATCATAATCAGCATCATCACCACCATCATCATGATCGTCAGCATAAGCAGCATCATCATCAGCAGCAGCATCACCATCATCATCATCATCATCATCAGCATAATCAGCATCATCATCATCATAATCAGCATCATCATCGCCATCATCAGCAGCAGTATCACCATCATCATCATCATCATCATCAGCAGCATCATCAGCATCATCATCATCATCATCATCATCATCCTCATCATCCTCATCATCATCATCATCATCATCATCATCATCATCATCATCATCATCATCATCATCATCATCATCATCATCATCATCATCATCATCATCATCATCATCATCATCATCATCATCATCATCATCATCATCATCATCATCATCATCATCATCATCATCATCATCATCATCATCATCATCATCATCATCGTTTTCATATTTAGCATCCTCGTAATCCTCATCATCCTCATCGCGGCTCTCCCAAGCCTGGGGACACGAGGTGTCACACGTGACGGCCTCTGGTGTCCCCTGGAACAGTCGTCACCCAGAACGCTGGGCTGGCACGGTGGCGGGACTTGCCGCAGGCAGCTTGATACTTCCTCCTTTCAGGCGGACCGCGACTCTGGAGCCAATCAAGGCTCCTCAAGCCTGTGACCCGCTGACTGCGTCAGAAGGAAGCACCTGCCAAGAGGGCGACGATATCTATTCATACCCACTGCCCCTGTCCAGGCCCATCCTGGGAGCAGGAGCCGTGTATACCCCCCTGGGAGGTATATACACCGCTCCCGGTCCCGTCCCAGGATGGGCCTGGCCAGCAGCAGTGGATATGTAACTATAGATCTCTTCGCCAGTCTTCGCCTGGTACCGAGAGAAGCGGCGAACCTGAAAATGCGATGAGGAGGAGGAGGATCGGGGAGACGTAAGACTCGGGTACAGGGGACTCGGGTTGGCCCCACGGGGCCATAATCCAAATGACGAGGCCCGATCTGAAACCTGACGCGAGCTCCCGCTGCAGACATCCCACGAAAGTCGGACCGGCAAAATCCGCGCACAGGGTCGGCAAGCCCGAGTTCTGGCTTCCCCGAGATGAGGATCGGCGGTGGACACGCCTCCATTTAGTAAACCTCCCTTTAGTGAACCCGAGTTAACCCTGACCCGAGTTACCCCTGATGATTCGGGGCTCTGAGTGACGTTCTCGAGGCCCGGAAGTGGTCCCCGCAGGCCGAGGGCAGAGAAGATCCAGCCGCTGCGGCTCCCCGAGTCTGCGGAGGCCTGGGTCTCCGCGCCCCCTCTCGGGAGGGAGCCCGTCGGCGTGGAGAGCCTCGAAGCAGGAGGCCCTCGGAGCAGGAGGCCCGCTCCCCCCCCGCAGTGACAGGGCGCGCGCGCGCGCGCCCGGCACGAAGCACGCGAGGTGCTCCATCTCCTGCGCGGCAGCGGCTAAGGAGGAGGAGGAGGAGGAGGAGGAGGAGGAGGAGGAGGAGAGAGGAGAGAGGAGGAGTGGAGGAGGAGGCGGAGGAGAGGGGGGAAGAAGGGGTAGTATGAGGGGGAGAGAACGATCTAAATGCAGAGCGTGAGACGCGCATGGACGGGAACACGCTTGCGCACTCTTTTCCTGGCAGGGCGCATCGCGTCGGTCGCGCGCTGCTCTGCGTAGGACTCCCAGCCCTGGGCCAAGACGCTGCTCTGCGCAGGGCCCTGGGCCAGCAGGAGGGAGGGAAGCTCAGCCTCGGGGGACACGGGCCCCGAGGGAAACGGGCCCTGGAGCATGGGGGCCGTCACAGCCCCGCAGCCCGTGGATGGGCCCCGAGAGAGCCCCGAAGAACCACGGAAGACCGCAGAGAGCCCGCTTCCCTCAGGACCCGCTTCCGCCATACCGCGAGAAGCAGGGGTCGGCGGCAGGAGTCAGTCTGGAGGCTACGGACCCGGGTCGATGCAAACCCGGGCCAGTCAGGCTTGGGCGCAGGAGCCTGCAGGATCCTGCACCCAAGCCGTGGTCAGTGCGCCCCTGGCTCTGCAGGATCCTGCAAGATCCGGCGCTCTGACTGACCCCCATTCGCGCTGACTCCCCCCAAAAAAACAAAGACACCACCCCACCTATGGCCCTCCATGTGGCGCTACGAGGCCCATCGGGCGCCGCAGCGTGCACCTCGCAAAAACCCACGCCAGACTTCCTGGTGTACGCCGGGCCCCCTGGTTCCTCAGGTGGGGTGGTGCCGTTGGTTCTCGGGTCCGTCTTTTGAGCCCCAGAGCAGGAGCAGGAGCCGCAGCCGGAGGAGTTGAGCAGGGACCGACCGTCCCGGCATTACAATAGTCCTACCACGAAATGTTCTTAGAACCCAAACATGTTCTAAGGAAAAAACAATGTTCTTACAACAGAAGCCTGATGTGTTAAAACAAGACAATATCAACCAGAAATGCTCTAAGAACATTTCGAGTAAACCGCAAAAGGTTTTTAGAACATTGTTTGGTAGGGCTATAGGCGAGCCAGGACGCTTCGCCACTGCTTGAGCCTCGGCACACCCTGGACGGCCGCAGGGCAGCCGCCGCGAGCGCTGCGCGCCGGCACCACCGCGGGGGCCGAAGGCAGGGAGGACCAAGGGCGGGGCGGACCGCCAGCCTGACGCGCGCGGTCTCAACTGTGGTCGGACCTGGGACAGAAGAACATCCTTCAAGAACACGAGCTTTAAGTCGGACCTGTCCCCCTACAGGGGGATTCTCGACGAAAATTAAAAAATACCCCAAAAATGATAATAAAAAAACAAACGGTCTGGGGACTATTTGTTGAGTATGTTTGGACTTGTTGGGGGTAGTTTTGGGGTATTTCTATTCTTCGTCGAAAATCCCCCTGTAGGGGGACACGCCCGACTTGAACCTAGGACAGAAAAAACATCCTTCAAGAACACGAGCCCCTCCGCCGGCCAAAACAGACAGAGCATCCGCGGGTGCCATCCCCCAGGATGCACAACAACACCCAACATGCACGAAGAACATCGGGGCACCCTCCCCGAAACAAACCGATCTTATCTCTCGGTCCGACTGCACACAGACTTGAACTTCTGGATATCAACCGTACGAGGTCTCAAGCGAAAGCCACATTCTGGAAAGGAACAGCACTTTATCCGTAGAGCTGATCCACATTCGCACATATCTGGCAACCTCCATCGGTGAACTGTTGGAAACTTGAGAGACAGATGTGCGCGGCGAGAATGCGACAGCCACGTTTTGATAACGACCGGCGATCCATCAAGTTGAATGTTGAAGTTTGAAGCCTCGGGGTCTCACATTGCGAATAAGCCTCAAGCAAAACGCGAAGCCCAGCCCACGGACACGTCTGGTGGTGCGACAGGGGGGAGTTAACAAGTACGAGGGAGGGAGGAGGCAAAGGCAATAGGGGGTCGTGACTCGAACTCTTGGTTGGAGGCCTGGAAATGGGCACCAACACCAACACGGGGGGGTTGCCTCCACGGGGGAACGATGATCCTGGATTTCGGTGCTGGTGGTAATAGTTCGGCCACCTTGGAGGCCAGACCATTACCACCATCACCGAGATCGGGATCTTCTGCCCTCGGTGGAGGCACACCGCCGAAATTGGTGTTGGTGTCAATCTCTAGGCCTGCGAAGCTCTTGGCTCTTGCTCGCGGGCAGGAAGGGGAGGGAGAGGACGGGCACGAGGATGATGACGACGAGGACGGTGCCGGCCAGAGAGCACCTGCAGGGCAACGAACGCCACCGGGCTAGAGGTAGGTCGGGCATGTCCTCCTACAGGCGGAACTGGGAGGAAAAAGACATACACCCTGCGAAATGCTTAAGAAATCATGGGTTAAGAAACTCAGTCTCAGAACTTGAATAGAAACCCAGAATTTCTTTTGAAATCTTAGGAATTACATTGAAACAGGAAGAATAATCGAGACTCTGGCCGAAACCTTCCGTTTTCTTAAGCATCGCCTAGGGTGTACAGGCGGAGCTGGGAGGAAAAAAAAACATACTCGGAAAATGCTCAACCATAGTCAAACAGACCAAACAAAACACAAAACAGATCCCCAGACTAATGTTGGATTATGCTTGAAAGTTCCTCTTGTAGAGGGACGTGCCCGACTTAAGGCCAGAGAAGGGCACGGGCGGGCGGCGCATCCCCCGTGGATCGGGGCCATTTTAGCCACCACCTCGCCCGCCGCGCATGCTAGACCATGCGAAGGAGCAGGAGAGCGAGGATGAAGGGGCCCAAGGACACACAAATAAATACACACACATAAAAATATTCTTCATAGTTTCTCATAGTTTCTGGGTTTTTGTCTTCCCCCCCACTGCCCATATTTTCCCATATTTTCCTGGGAGTCGACGATTAATTGTGTCTGTGTGTTTCTTTCCCTCTTGAGAGGAGGATGATCATTCTGGTGATGATGACGGGTGGCGGTGATGAAGATAGGACTCGCCTCTCTACAGCGGGAGCAGGAGGGCGCGGAGGAGGGTGAAACAACTTGTGGTGATGATGACGGATGGCGGTGATGATGATGTAGTGGAGGCCAGTCCACAAGGAACCTTCCACAAGAAACCCGACCCTGAGACCCCGGGACGACCATGGATGTCTGGTGCGTGAACGTCAAGCCCTCCATAGCAGGATCCGTCGAAACCCAAGGAACCCGGGGACCCTGGAGGCAAGCAGGGTGTTTCTTGGCATGGGTCTCCATTGTACGGTCGAATGCGAATGAACACCCAACATTTCTCGGGCCGGGCGAAAGGGGGGGATAGCAAAGGGGGGGTTTGAGAATCAGCTCACGTAGCTGCGCCTCCCAGCGCCTCCCGGCGCCGGGAGGCGCCCCTGGATCGAGGAGTGGGCCCCTCGGTGAGGCCGAAACCAGCTGCATGCAGCAAATTTCGTAACCCCCCCTTTCCCAATCCCCCCCTTTCGTCCAGCCCGAATTCCGAGGGCTCCGCCGGCCACCTCCGCGCTCCTCCGCCGGCGGCGGTGGCGCCGCCGCCGTGGCGCCGAGGATGGCCCCGGCCTCCGCGGTCGCCGCGGCGGCGCCGATGGCAGCCGGCGTCGCCGGCTCGGGGCCGGCGCGGGGGACCCGAGGCCTCCCCAATGGGGTCGGGGGGGTGGCGACGTCGACGTGAAGCAGATCGGGCTCCACATCGAGCCGCATCGGCGATGCATCGGCGATGCGGCGCGATCCTCCGACCCCGTCTACTCCGACCCCATGTGGGAGGCCTAGAGGGACGAGGATGGTGACGGCGACGAGGATGATGATGAGCAGCAGCAGCAGCAGCCCGCTGCCGAGGTGGGCTCTCCTCGGAGAGCTTGACCTCCCCCGGGACGCCATTCCTCGGGCGGAGGGTGGGGGGGCGCAGGCGCGGACGCCGCAGGAGATGGCCGCGCGGGGGAAGCCACAGAGAAGCAGAGAGGGGGTCGGCGGCGAGCGAGGGGGAGAAGTGAGAAGTAGAAGGCCTTCTCAGAAGGCGGCAGGACTTTTCAGAAGCCCTCGCGCATTCTGAGGTTTTCGGCGTCTTCGGGGCAGGCTCCGAAAACTTCTCAGAAAGCCGTGGGGACTTCCGAGCCTTCTGAGAAGGCCTGCCCCTTCTCACTTCCCCCCCCTCGCTCGCCGTCGAGAGGGGGGAAGAGGAAGGAGAAAGGGACGGAGATGGGGGGGGATAGGGGACGAAGAGCAAGGGGATGGTGAAGTGGGAGAGGGGCGAAGGAGAGGGGAGGAGAGGGGAGGGGAGGGGAGGAGAGGGGAAGGGAGGGGAGGGAGACAAGACCTGGGAGGAATGGGGAGGGAAAGGAGGGGGCAGGAGTGAACGTGAAGACGGGGGGGCGGGGGGAGGGACGCAGGAGGGGCCTCAGAGAGACCGAGGACGCGGGGTGGCCTCAGAGAGACAGAGTAACGTAGGAGACGGAGTAACAACGGAAACTAAACTGCACAAACGCAGAAAGACGGACAGCCAAGCATATAGACGGAATGGTGCATACATACATGCATACATACATGCATGCATGCATGCATGCATGCATACATGCATGCATGCATGCATACAAGCATGCATGCATACATACATACATACATGCATGCATGCATACATACATAGTTATATACATACATGCATGCATACATACATACATACATACATGCATACATACATACATGCATGCATGTATGCATACATACATGCTCAAATACCTGCACAATCATATACATATACACATACCTATACATATACATATCCACATGCACATACCCATACACAAACACAGACACGTGCACCTACACACACATACACATACACATACACATACAGATACACATGCACGTACACGTACGCATACACCTACACATATGCATATATGTATGCATACATCTATATACATATACATATACACATACACGTACACATATCCATACACATACATGTACACATACATATGCATATACATGTGCAGATGCATCCGCCTATCCTAATCCATGTATATATATATACATGTTATCATACATATGCCTGTGCATGTCCATATAAATGCACAGGTGCACATACATATACATATACGAATGCCTGTGCATGTATACATACATATGCATACACATACATGTACATATACATGTACAATTACATATACGCATACACATACACATACATGTGCATATACATTTGTATGTGCATACACATATACACATATACACATGCACATGCACATACACATACACATACACATACATTGACCTACCTAGACACATACGCATACACATTCACATTCAGGTTCACATACGCGTAAACATTCACATGCACATACACATACACAAACATATACATACACCTGTTCATATACACATACACATACACATACGTATACATGTACATATACGTATACATATATATCTACATATGTATACACTTATACAAATACATGTACCTATACATATACATGTTTATATGCATATGCATATACATACACACATGCATGTACATACACATACGCACATGCATACTCATATACATATACATACACACATGTATAAACAGAAACATAAACGTATTCGAAAACGCGTACATATACTGGAACCATCGCGCGCGCTTCGCGCGCGCGCGCTCAAGTTCTAGCGAACTTCTTGGGGCGTCCTCGGAGCATCCTGGACTGCATCTTGAAGTCGTCATGGGACCTTCTTGGCATGTCTCTGGGGGCCTCTTAGAGAGAGTTTTGAAGCCTTTGGGGTGCCGTCTTGGGGCCTCTTGGAGCCTCTTTTGGGCTTCTTTGGGGCCTCTTGGGGCCTCTTGGGGGCCTCTTGGGGCCTCTTGGTCGCTTCCTGGGGGCATCTTAGGCCTCTTAGGGGGATCTCAGGGCGGAGAGTTTGATTTTTCAATTCGCGTTCCCTCTCTTGGGCCCCTCTTGGGGCCTTCTTGGGACCCTCTTGCGCCGTCTTGGGCGGCTCTGGGGCCGTCTCGGGGCTCTCGTGGGCCGTCTTGGGACCCTCCTTGGAGCCTCTTGGGCCGTTTTGGAGCGGTTTGGGGGATTTCTTGGGCGGTGCCTTAGCGCCGGAAGCACGAAACAGCGAGAGTGCAAAAAACATTCAAAAACAACATGGAAATCAACGATTTTGCCCTGTCATGGCGCTTTTGGGCGGCATCTTAAAGGCCTCTTGGGGCGTCTTGGGGGCCTCCGGGACAGTTTAAAACGCATCGTGCGTTTTGGGGGTGTCTCGAGACCGTCTGGGGCTGCCGGGAATTGCTGTCTGAGGGCTCCCTGTGTCGATTTTAGGCCTCCCAGACAGAGGCGGGCCCGGGCCTCGGTCCCCACATTTCTGGTCGAGGTTCCGGCACTCGGCCCCCGAGCCCATTGCGCAGTGACATGTGTACGTACCCATCGGTCGGAAGAAATAGGTAGAAACATGAAGTAGGAAGGCGTTGGAAACAGATTGGGTTTACGCACGCCTCCTGAAGAGGAAGGAAAAGGGAAAACCACTCGACTCTTGAAGTAGGACGGCGCTGAAAGTAGATTGGAACCTGTGATTCCAAAAATATTTACTTTCAACGACCGATGGGTACACATATTCATACACATGTACGTATACGTATACGTACACGTGTACATATACACAGATGTGTATACAGATCGTCAGAGCGACAGGCGCACGGACGCACGGAGACGAAGACGTAGTCAAAACAGCCGCCGCCGTGCCCCGAGACACGAGTTCAAACCTCCTCGGGTCCCTTCGAGTTCTCCGCATTGAGTTCTGCAAATGTCCTTCAAGGAGCCCGCAGCCCCAGACTTCCAGGCGCTCCCGGGCGCTCGTGAGCGCTCTCGGGCGCTCTCGGAACATCCCCGCGTGTCTTTGAGAGGCCAGGATCGCGTTGTCCGGGACATGAATGTCCAACATGGTTTGAGATGGCCTCGGAGACCATCATGGAGCCTTCTTGGGCGCCTCTTGGACCGTCTTGGAATGGTTTTCGCATTACCGCCTGTTCGGTCTCCAGAGCGTCCAAGACGGCCCAAAGAAGCGCCCAGCATCGCCCAAAAACTGCCCACCACACCACCACACAACCGTGCATCCAGAGGGACGCGTGGGCACAATGAGTTGCAGCATTGGCAACCCATGAAAAGGCGAATTATGACTAGACAGGGAGGAGGAGGGGCGGGGGAGGAGGAACGAGGGAGGAAAGGGAACGTTGCGGATGCAACCTACAAGTGTTGGGCAAGCTCGCGCACAGACTTCGCCCATTGCTGACGAAGTCGGCCCCTCTTGCGGCGCACAGACCAGTCTCTGAGAGATCCACTTGCGTTAAAAAGTACGCGTGTTACAAGTGTGGGCGCGTCATGATTCGCTATCTTATTATACAGTTTCACTTGACTGGAAAGAAGCATCTGCGACAGCGGTATCGCTGAAGCTTTCTGTAACACGCTCGCATTGCTTACTCTAGATATGCATGCAGAAGGTATTCCCAAAATGCGCCTCAAACTCTTGTAGCGAAAAGCGTCCAGACGAGAACGGTCAGCTTTGAACAACCATAGCGAATCCAGGGAGTAGAGGAGTTTGCTCAACACCACGCTGTAGTAGATCTTGTACTTTCGTTTCCATCCAAGAGAAGACCGCGACAAAAGTTTGTCAAGCTGCTTGAATGTTTTGGCTGCGTCTCCCAATCTCCTGGACGCCTCTGTTGTAGCTTTACCGTCGCACGTCACCAGGCCACCCAGGTACACAGCGTCCCGCACTGCCTTTATGTCACTGCCATTTGGCCTTGTACCTTTGGTGCACGTCGAGATCTGCAGTTGGATCATGTTGCCCCAAGTGAGTTCCAAACCGTAGTTGCGCCCTTCTTCCACGATTGCGTTTAGCATGGCTTGAAGATTAGATTGATGTCGCGATACGAGTGATGCATCGTCCGCATATAAGATATCCCGGGTAACCACATAGCCAGGTTCTGGTTGATGGAGTAATGAGTCGATCGCATCCTTCAACATGATCGTCTGGACTGCAATGAACAAGTAGGGCGACAACGGGCATCCCTGCGCATTCCCGTCGCGTTGGCTCCTTTCAGAAGAATTTCCAGCATGGTCAACGATAGTGAAGTATCGAGCAGAATATATTGACCGGATCATGTCGACGACGTCGCTTGGTAGCCCAAATCTTTGTAGTGCTTTACACGTGGCATCTGGTTTGATTATGTCAAAAGCTTTCGCCCAATCCAACATCAGTACCATAAGCCCACCACTATCATTGATGTGCGCGGCATCGATCATGCGCCTCATAAGCATGAGGGCGTCTGCGGTGCCACGCCCAGGCCGAAATCCGCATCGCGAGTTACGCATGCGCTCTTCGGACCCTCCACGGAGTAACCTTTGGCGCATGAGTGCTACCAAGATTTTGCACCAAACTGAAACCAAAGAAATTGGGCGATAGTTCTCGGGAAGGGCTGCGTCACCCTTTCTGAATAGCAAAACTACTTTTGCTCTTCTCCAAGATTGCGGGATCGCCTTCCTAGACCAGCACTGCTGGCAGAATCTCAATAGGACGTCGGTTGCGCATTTATCGCACATCAGCATTTTCCAGAAATCTGATGGAATATCGTCGGGGCCGGCCGCCATTCCAAGTTTGAGTTTTTGCAATACCTTGCGCAGCTCATCCATCGTGAAACCTCCTGCGCGCACCGGTAGAATATCGCCGATTGGATTTTGAGCTTCTGGTTGTAATTCTGGGTGTCGCATTTGCCATTGCACTGTCTCGAAATAGTATGCCATGATGTTCGCGCGTTCTGCAGTGTTCGATAGCGTTCCATCCGGCTTTTCGACGGCAGCATGTTTGACATTTTTGGGTTTGCGCAAAAATGGCACTGCGC